CTTGGACAGGCTGGTTTTGAACCTTGGGCCATATGTTTGACACCCCTGAATAGAGCTTCCAATGTCAGCACCAACACCTTCAATTGTGCCTAGAAAAAAATTGAAAGGCTGTGTAGATGAGCGAAGACTGGAGTGATATGGTCTCTACAGTCCATTCAACATCTTGGCTGCAGCATTCTGCATCAGTTGAAGTTTCCAAACACTTCTCAAGAGCAGCCCAATCCCAAGGGCAGCTGGCTAACCAGTCAAAGCTGGTACAAGGCATTCCTGGCCACAGCAGCCACTTGCTTATCCGGCAGTAGGCCTGGATCCAAGGGCACCCCAGACCGGTTCCTTCTCGGGGAATGCAGCCCCATCCAGAGTGGGTGACACCAGAAATCCTGGGTTAGACCGTCCACTCACCACTAGTACTTCTATGTTGCTGGGATTAAGCTTCAATTCATTAGCCTTTATCCACTCCAGTACTGCCTCCTGGCACCAGTTCAGGATTTCTACAGTCTCCCTGGGATCAGCCACAAACCTTTGCCTGTGTACTCTGTTTTTGTTTCAAATTAGATACATGGATTTTCTTTTGCTGTTGAATGGGAGGTTGCCTTTTCTTCTTCTTTTTTGCCTTGTGGACCTGCAGCTAATGGACTTCCATTGGGGAAACAGCACAGCTGCTTTCCCATGAATTTAAAGACATCAAGAGATTTCCAGTTCTTCTTCACAGATCTCTTACATGTCTTTTGGTTTGGTCCTGCCTTTTGTTGGGGGAATACAAGTATGAAGCATTTGCTTCCGTTTTCATCCCCCAGTTTTTCTGCAACAGCCTGCTTGCTAACCTACAAGGCAATCTGTGCTGTACAAGTGGGTAGCATGTGATTTGTCTTGGGGCTGCCTCTTTCTCCCCTAGTGCCTGCCTTTTAGAGTGGAAGCAAAATATTTCATCTGTACACAAGTTGATGGGGGGAGGGTAGAGCTTCTGCCTCTACCAGCTTACCCCCATCTGTAGCATGTGCTGTCAGGGAGTACAAGCAAAATGTTGGTATGCTTCTGGGGGGGCAGGGATGGCACCAGAGCAGAAAAGAGAATGGAGTGACAAGCAAACAGAACTTATTAGATATGCAAGAAAGGTGCCCCACCTCCATCAGTGAGGACAAAGGAATGATTGACAGAATGTGGAAATGCTGCACACAGTGGTACTTATGGGGATGATGCCCTCTGGTAAAAATATCTGCACATTTTTCTGGCTGGAAAATGCACCTGTCTGTTTATCCACCAAATTACTTTCCCACTTCCCTGCTCCTCTTGTTTTCTTTCCCTTACCTCATACAACTGTGAAAGGCAGAAAGAGAAGAGTGTCAGAAGAATCAGTCATTTATGGAAATTACCAAATGTTTTAGTGATTGAATTAATTCTATTTAAGGTGATTTGGTTTATATTTTTGATTGTTTTACAAATGCATAGCTTTGTTAATGGATAGAGCTCGTTTCTCTTGCACAATCCTACTGGAAGTTGTGCAGCTCCCTTTCATTTCATTAGTGTTCCCACAGATGCTAGAGGGTTGTGGACACACAAAAGGATGTCTGCTGAGTTTATATCTGAAAAACATTGTTTGGTTGTCTTAGTAGGTTAAATTAGCATCTTACATGAACACCATGGCTTTGGGGGAAAGGAAAACAAATTAGTACTAAAAGACTTGGATATTTTTTATGATTGTTTCCTAGGTTCCCCACAGGAGCCATTAAATACTAATAGGACATCACTTAGCCATTTGGTGGCATTTATTAGTCACTGCTGAGCATTTTATGGTGACCTTCTATTACTGTAATCAATACTTGGCAGAAAGATCTAAGCACAAAGTTTTGTGGATATTTGCACTTATTCAATAAGTATTCTCATGGGATACATTTTAACTCTTGGTTTACACAGTTGCAAGAAATCAAATGAGGAAGGGAATGAGGAGGCTTTAGCAAGCCTTCAGTGGTAAAAGTGAAGTTTGTATGAATGTTTAATTGTTGAACTGCATCTGGAACATTTCTTCAATTAAAACTGCTCCCTCTCTTATATTTTCTGCAGAGCGAATTAAATGGGGTAACAAAAAGTATTCATTTGGTAACCTGTGAAAGACACTATTTTCCATCAGAGCATGTTAGGGAGAAGTCCAGGTTACACCTGTTCTTTCACACCTGCTATCTAGTGGGGATTTCTGCTCAGGAGAATATTTAGACATTTTGGTTGAACTGCCTAAGGTGGCAGCCATTGTGGCCTCAGGATAGGACAGAAACCTCCACAAGGCATGTGCAGTTTCCCAGATTCCAAAGGGTAGAAAGGAGGACATGCTCTGCCTCCGGCCTGGACAAATGGCAGGTCGGGAAGAGATGAGGAAGGAAGAGGTGCCAGTTAATCTTCTTAAGCTCCAGTTTTGAAGCAGAGGAGGTCTCTAGCACATGACAGGCGGGGTGGTCCTAGTGGCTCTGGGGCCCCAGGCAGAACTTGATGATGGACCCCAAGAGTCACTCAAAAAGCACAGGGGAAAGGGCAATCAGCTGTAGGGTGGTCAGCCCCCTTCGCCCTACAAGTGATCTGGCTGCAAGGTAGTGGGGGCTCCCAGCAGCTTCCCCAGATGCCCTGTGGTCAAGACCACCCATGGTGACAGGTGCTGGTGAGGGAGCAGGAGAAGGCTTGGGGAGGTCCATGAACATTTTAAAATCAAAATGAGAGGTCTCAGACTGCTAAAAATCTGTTCCTAAATATTGCTTCAGATAATTCTTGCCGTATTGCATGAGTCTTACCATATTGCAAAAGGTGTTGTGAATGCCAGTGATCAAGTGAATTTCTCACTTGACAGCACACCATCTGTTCTTCCTTAGGAGAGCAATGCCTGAAGATTTGCTTGTTCATTAAGAACAAGCTGCTTCATTACCCAGAGTACCATTGACCAAAATGTACAGTAACACATATTACTATAGGGAAAGTCTAGGAAACTGTACTTGCCCTCATGAGAATGAGAATTAGACTTCTCCTATAGTAATATGTGTTACTTTCATTTTTAAAAAAGACAAGGACATGGTTGTGGTCAGTGAGTTCATCTTGGCCAAAACAGCACTGTATATAAAGAACAAATTGTTGGCAGTTAGCAGCCTCGGATTGCTAATTCTAGGCCAAGCTTCTATTTATGATCTTCTTGGTAGCGTTCATTTTAACAAATCAAACTTTAACATTGCAGCAGGAAATTTAGATTTAACCTCAAACATCATTGTTTTGTCTTAGCTCATCTTTAATATGATGCAGATGTTTAACTGCTATACATGTCAAGTTTTTGTTGCAAAGGCCCTTTCTGCATAACCAAAACCATAAGTAACTGCAGTGCAGATTAGAGAGAGTGAGTGGCACCAGTAGTGTATAGGCAGTATTGAGAGAAGTGTATTTGAAAGAGATATGTAAACATATCCAACACACTACAGAGGCTTTTTCTAGCAGGATCTAATCCAGATGTTATGTATAGGGCAGCTGTTAGCTTTGTTTTTAGGAAAGCAGAGGGGAAAATGATGGAGTAATTACAACGTTACAATAATAAACAACATGAAGAACGGCATCTGAAATGTTTCATATTCTCAAGCTTCTTAAAACAAGGACGACCAGGTTTGGAATTGCTGTGTATCCTCCTGTACCAGACCTGCATGTAGACTAGTTTCAGAAGGTAGTTGTATTGGTCTGCAATAGAACAACTAGATTCCAGTCCAGTAGCACCTCAGAAAACTAACAAGATTTTGAGGCATAAGTTTTCAAGACTCGAAACTCCCTTTGTCAGATACCTACCGTACTAATCTGACGAATCTGACCAAGGGAGCTTTGACTCTCGAAAGCTCCTACCCTGAGACTCTTGCTGGACTCAGACCTGTGACTGCCTCCCTACCTACACTTCTGAATTACTCAGTAGGTCTGGGACTGTGACTGACTTCTGCACCCTCACCCATTCCTCATCTGTGGGTCAAACGGCATATGCAAGAGATGTAGGATTGAATCTCTTTTTCGGAAAAATGAGAAGAGCTGTCACTGAGGTTTGCCAACTTGATTGAGGCAGGGGATGGGGTGGGATGGTAACCATTTTTCCTATCAAATCATCCTCCAACCTGCTGTATCCCAGTTACTGGGAAGAATACCTTACTTCCCACCAGTGTTCCCTCTAAGCTGAGTTAGTGTGAGCTAGCTCACAGTTTTTTAGCCTCCAGCTCACCCATTTTTGCCTCAGCTCAGGAAGGAGGGATGCAGAGCAAACAAATTGATGCAGCAGCCAAATCACCCACTCACAACTTTAATGCCATTAGCTCACAAAGTAGAATTTTTGCTCACAAGACTCCACAGCTTAGAGGGAACATTGCTTCCCACCAGCCTTTCAGTGGGGCAAACATCAGTTTTGAGCAGGAAAAATTGCATGGGTAAAAAGGATCGTGCGTACACACTGATTTGCTGTTGCTCCTCTCAAGCTGGTAGCTTCCAGTGGCTGAATTTAATTTACAGTTATGATATAACAGCACATCCACACTAGTTTGATCCTGTGTCTATAGGGTTCCTGAGTCACTGCTGGTACTTCTTTTATATTAGGCATCCTACTGCAACTCGACCCAAAGCCACAGGCTCTGACTCCATAAAGTACATGCAGAGTACTGCATGCCTTATGTATGGCTGCAGGTGCCTTTGGGTATGTGTGGTCCAATATGGTGTGTAAGGGACAGTATTGTGGGCTGCATGCAAAAGGCATGCATTCGCTTGAGTGCACAAATCTGTCCAACTGGCCTGTGCATCAGCTTCCTTCATATGCTTGAGAGATCCTTCTTCCTGCTCTTTCTCCATCCATTTACAAATAGCCATTTACATGGCACGTAAGATGCATTCTGTGTATATTTGATGCATTTGTGTTTATATGCTCTGCCTCTACAAAAAACATATTGAATCAATAAGTCTTTTTTTGTCAAGTAACCATGAATCATCATTTATACTTTTTCTCTTCCTAGTCTGCTGTGTATTTATTTCCCTTCCACAGACCTTCTACAACATTCATCTGTAAGTAAGCGCCAACATAAATGAATGCTCTTTCATCCTGCTTAAGACATTGGGCTTCTTATCTTGTAATGAAATATATTTAAATGTTTCAATATACTGTGTTTTATGTCAGCCAGCCACTTATTGCTAAATGACTTACTATACAGCAAAACTAGTTTGCATGATACAAAATGCTGGTTCTCCCCCAGCCCCCACCCCATTCTTCCCTTCTAAAATTTTCAACTGATTTTCTTTCTTCCCAGTTCAGTCCTTCCTACAATCTCATATATCTGCTTAAGAAAAGTTTGTAATGTGCTGTATTCAGAATTGATGAAGTTTCTGCACTAAAACGTAAAGGGGAGATGGGGGGGGCCTCAGTGGTATGGTGCATGCTTTGCATGGGGAAAGCTCACAGTTTCGGTTTCTGCCATCCTCAGTCAAAAAGTGTCTCAAGTGATGGGAAAGCCTTTTTTCTGCTTGTGACTGTGGAGAACTGGTTCCCCTCACAGTAGACCATCCTGGGCTAGACGGGCCAGGGCTCTGGCTTGGTGTAAGGCAGCTTCATATCAGTAATTCCACTGGCTTTTCCAAAGGCTGCTGATTAAAGCAAAGGGTGGTTCCTCTTCCATCTTCTTTCTGCAATGTACTATCCTTCTCCCATTGACAGTGAGATGTTATGTGTATTTACTCCCATTGATTTCTATGGAATCCAGTGGAACTTTCTCACAATAAAGTGTCCATAAATTGCAACCTGGATATAAATAACTGCTACATTACAGTTGAAGAGCTGCTTATTACAGCTGTTATTTGTTGCTGTTGTTCAGTCGCACAGTCGAGTCCGACTCTTCGCGACCCCCTGGACAAAATCTGTTATAGTTAGCAACAAAAGTCTGTCTACTGCTAGGGAAATAATCGATTAATTTAACATGTATTGAATCTATATTTATTGAATACAATAAATTTTATTGAATACAATAATTTTCTTCTTTCAAAAAAAAAAAAGATGAATGACTTAAGGGTTGTGACCAGTGCCTTGGGACGTATGACTCTGACTACAGGCTTCTGTAGAGGAATGCTGTCTCCGCCCATAAAGTCAATTGCTTCTTTTGTAGAGCATATGGAAAGAGAACACTGCTGAAGGATTCTTTATATGAAGGACTGCTACCGCTGTTGTCTCCTATGCTGCTCTTTACACTCCTCACCATCTGGGTTTTTTTATCACCAAGTGAAATACTGGTGAAACAAACCAGACTGTTCCTATGGATGGTTGGAGTTATGTTCTCAAATGTTATTGTAAGTATACTTGGATGTCTTTCAAATACACTTTATAAACATCTTATCCTAATTAATAAGATGGAACTATATTTGTTTTGTTATACCTTGGCAAAGGCCGCATGTTCATAAATGACTTGCATGATGCTTCTGAGATAAAAGGACCCCTGAAGAGACTGGATTTCTCATTATACCTGCTTGAAACTGAAGAGGACTTCAGTGCTCAGCATTACTCCACCTCTAGCTATTTCATTTAGCAGAATTATGGTATTGTAACAACATTATATTTCATGTACGAGCACAGGTTGTAAAAATAGCATTAAGTATCAGTGCAGTGCAGATTCTTCTGCAGAGATTAACGGGTAAATTATGCCTTAGTGACACACTGCTCATTTACCATTTTCAAAAAAAAAATAATCAAACTTAAGTAGCACCTTTTCAGTCTTACATTTTATAAAGTAAGCTAAGTGATTGGCAGAAACTGCATTTTACAGAGATTTACCACTTCTGAGTGTATTTCCTTCAGTAGTGAGTTACCCATGGAAGGCATGCTGATCTTGGAGAGGATTGTAAGTCTGTTCTGGATGGGTCACTCACTGCTAAGGGACTGGGGGGGGGCATGCACTTTAGGAATGCTCTGTGGTTTGTTTTTAATGTTTGACTACCTGGCAGGGCTATGTGGTGTATCAGCTGCATCTGCTCCTACGAAACGCAGTCCTAGTCTCTGCAATAGAGCCAGTTTGGTGTAGTGGTTAGAAGCGCGGACCGTAATCTGGGAGAACTGAGCTTGATTCCCCACTCCTCCACATGCAGCTGCTGGTGTGACCTTGAGTCAATCACAAGTTCTCTCAGAGCTGTTCTCTCAAAAGCAGTTCTCAAAAGAGCTCTCTCAGCCCCACCTACCTCATAGGGTATCTGTTGTGGGGAGAGGAAGGGAAGGCAATTGTAAGCCGCTTTGAGGCTCCTTCAGGTAGTGAAGGGTGGGGTATAAATCCAATCTCTTCTTTTTCTTCTAATATATGCCCTGGTGGCTTCTAGAGTATACTGAGAGCCTTGCATTAATCATGGGACTACCTTTTGAAGTGTCCAGAAACTATAGCTGGTCAGGAATGCAACTGATGGGTTGCTGACCGACATTAACTGAAGATACAATTCTAGTCCTCAAGCAGTTTACTTTGGCTTCAGAACAGTATCAAAGAGATTAGGATTTAATCTTTAAAGACACTATTCAACTGAAAGAGTACCTTATCCCATGTAATGCCTCACAGTATCTAGAAGAGGTCTTTTATGGATATTCCTTTTTTCTAAAGGGTTACGGATGGCCAGAGGCTGGGCCTCTTCCGTATTCAGGAGAGTGCTCAAGACCTTCCTTTTTAGGTCTTATGACCTGTTTTATTGCAGCTAGCTTTTTAAATGTTTTCTGCTACTATTTTATCTCCCCCCCCTTATTTTCAGTTTCAGCCTATTTTATTATAAGGCATTTGTGGGATCTTTTTGGACAGGAAGCAAACTATCAATGAATTAATTAAGGCTAAGAAAAAAATGTAATCACTCCAAGAAATTTTAAAATGTTCATCATGCAGACAAAATGGTCTAATCCCTCAGAAAAGCATCTGGCAAAAGCACAATTGTTATGTTACTAGTTTTAAATATTTGAAAGCTAAATACTCCACAGTGGCCATAGGTAAATAAGATTGTTAAAATTGCATTGTTCCATTTAGGAATTCAGCTTCTAAAACCAAATATAAAATGTAAATATTACTAATGTTCACATATTTACTATGGGTCCAGACAAGCACACAGATAGCTGGTTTCTTTCACATAGTTCCACTTTAAATCAGGCATTCAGCCTTGCAGTGTGGCTTTATTCTGTAAAGGACAAGATTTATTGCACAATGACTCCAGCCTGAGTGGATGCTTTTGTTAAGGGTTCCAGCTATATTCCTCAATGAGAAAACCTTACTTTGGAATTTCCTGCTCATGATAGTATCCAGACACATCTGAGCCAATAATGGCAAGATGCCCACAAGAGAAGAAATACGGACACACATGTTCCTTGTTAGCCAGCATTTCACTGTGGATATTCAGTAAAATCTATGTTACAGTGCCGACTTGCAGAAATAATTATTATTGTGTTAGGAAATTACATGACTGAACCATGTCTTCATTCACACCATACAAAAACAACCAAACCCTGTATTTCATGAATCCAAGAACCACATTATTGTTCTCTGCTAGACTTTTCTATTCCTCTTTCCTGTTCAGAAACTAGTTGCCATAGCAATTTCTTTACCCTCCAGTTCTACCAAATTTGTCACAATCCTGTGCAGAGCTAAGCATGCTTAAGCCCAATGCTATCAATAAGATTAAGTATGCTTAAGTCTGTAATAGATTGTAGCTACTGTCTTTCATTTTCATTCAAGTGTCTTAAATATCAAACAAATTTAGCTAGAATTCATCTGCTCTCTTCTATACGCCTTTTATTTTTACAACATCCACTTGTTTAAGAGATGCTTATTCTCAGTTGTGACCTAATAAGAATGCAATTTGAGATAGTAGGCATGACCACTTTGTCTCTGTGAGGGGAAAAAGGGAGGAGATTGATAAACAATTTAGGATCTTGCATTCTTCAATACCAAATAGTAGCTAGAAGGAAAATTTACTCAGTACTTCTTACAGAATATGAGTTATCAACTGGCATTAACATTTTATGGAGGAATACCTGAATTGCTCTGAAAAACTCCAAGCCCATTGTGCAAATCTTTTAAAAATCCAGGAGATATTTAAAGGCTTAAGTGCCCCATAGCTCAGGGGGAAAGTGAAGTATAGTCTCAGCATGTCCAAAAGATGGAGGTGTTGCTGGTCAGTAAGACTTGAGAGTCTTACCTTTAAAGCTCTTTGTGATCTGGGACCTGGGGCCATCTCTCAACACACAAACCAAGGCACTGATTACACTCTTCCAATCAGCTTCTCCTTACATCATTCTTCCACCAAAGGGCTCCTTTTTCCAGGTGCTGGGGGGGGGCAGCGGAATGGAAGACTGTTCAATTTAACAATTTTCACTGGGGTTTGGCTTGTGATTGGCACGATGGAGTGATCTTGTTTTCAGATTCCAGATATGAAGTGATTTACTAAATTGCTGGCTGACTTAAGCCTGTGTTTGGGGAAACTTGGGAAATAAATAGTTCCAATAAATAAGAGGGCAGTGGGGGGACTCTCCATTAGTGACAAAGCTTCCCATCTTATTAGAGCTGTGAAACAAATGTTATTGAACGTACTGAAACATGAACGTTCCAAAAACAGGTGCAAAAGTCACCAGAAGGGAGCAGTGGGCTCAAAATTTGTGGACCCCCCTCTCCCAATATACTTACTACCCAAAATACTAGGTTGGATCCTAAGGTTGTCTTTCTGCTGATAGTCAGTGGAGTGTGTGTGGGGGGGTGTTACCCAGTTTCTCCTACTGTTCCTGAAGCTCTCCTGTTCTCCAGAAGCAGTGTTTTGGTGAGCTTAGTGGGCTGCAACGGCAGTGGGGAGGCAGACAAGTTCCATTGTATCAGTGGAGTGCTTCATTTCTATAATGAAAGGGCAATACTTGTGGTGAATCTGGTGAATGCAGTGCAATCTCCACTTCCTAATCTCTTTCCCAACTGGGAAAAAAGTTATTTTTCCTCTGCCACTCACTTACATATCCAAATTTAATTCCTACAGTGCAGGATGATAATTTGCCAGATGACTCACACGAGATCCGAAGTGCTTCATTGGCTTTTGATCCCATTAGCTGTCATGGTCTACACAGCAACTGCTGGGTTTCAAGGCAAATGGGAAGAACCAGTACTTGCAGCATTTACCATCTTCGTCACAGCTGTTCATGTCCATTATGGAGTTTGTGTGGTAACACATATGTTTTTATGATTAGTTAAAAAAATATAGTTTGCATTCTCAAAACATAGACACCTTCATGGCTTCCATCAGCAAGCATCCAATCGAGGATCTTTTAAAGGTGTAGAAGTACTTTTAAAGTAGAAGGCCCAACCCTTCCCCCAATGTTTGGCATTTGTGGATTGCCTGCTGAGAAAGACAACGGTATGGCCTGATTTCATTCCTTTTGTGAGGCCCCACCTGCTCACCCTGGGGCAGCCTGTGCTCCACCGTCTTGCACTCTCCTCAGTGGAGGGAAGAGGGTTGCATCACCTTGTTCCTCCTCCAAGTTGGATGTGCCCCCACTGCAGCGCAGCTGCTTCCTCTCTGGCTTGTTTCAGGGAACCTCCTTTTATTCCCCCCACTTTGGAGCCTATGCTCCCCTGCCCCTGTCCTCTCACTTACCCACACAAGCATTGGGCAGCTCACTTGCCCTTCTCTGGGCTGCCCCTCCCCATTGGTTATCCAAATGTTTGAGCCCTCCCCTTTAATTACCCCCCAGCATATCCGTGGGGTGGCCACCATTGCCCTGGGCTGCCAGCCAGCTCCTGAGTTGGTGTGGGGAGCCAATGCTACTTGATGCTGGAGAAGCAGGCTCTTGCCTGGGCAGCCAGGACCATGTGGGCATTCTGCATAAGTAGCGTTCCTGCCACCATGCCAGAGCTCACCTCCTCCCAGCACTCCCAGCCTGAGTGCTCTGGCACCAGCTTCCCTGCTGGCTGCTCCTGTTTCAAGGTGGCCCATGTCACCTCCTGGCTTGCCTCTTTGCACTCTGCTGCCTGTGTGTAGGTCTGGGGCATCAGGGACAGTCTTCGGACTAGCTGGGGCTGTGTGTCCTGGCTTTCCTCCATGTGACCCAGGCTCGGCATAGGGGCTTATCCCAACCCAGAGCTTGCTGCCAATCCCAGACATGTTTATAGTAATCAGAGCCATTTAAACTCCTGCTTTCTGCTCTTCATGAAAAGCAGCTGAGTGGCAGTGAGCAGAAAGCAGGGGTTTAAATGCCTCCAAGCCATTTAAACCTCTGCTTTCTGCTCCCTGCCACTCAGCTATTTGGTATAAATGGCTTGAGTGAAAAGCAGTGGGGAACTGAAAGCGGGAGGTGAAATGGCTTGGAGCCATTTCACCCCTTGCTGCCTGCTCCCTGCCATAAGTGGTGGCAAGCAGAAAGCAGGGACTTAAATGGCTCATGAACCAATACAAACCAGTTCAGTTTGCGAACCGCAAAAATGCAGTTTATGCCTATTCCTAAACAATACCCCTTGACCATCCTTTATTGTTTTTTAAAATTAATCTACTTTAATCAGATAAAGTATATTTTACAGAATGCTGTAGTCCCATAAATACAGGATAAGAGGATAAAAATATTACAGAGATTTGTTTTTAGTTCTAACTGTATCACAGTCATAATCTTGACTGATTGATTTTATATAACTATTGATACGTGCCATACAGATCTGCAATAGCTTGCCAGATAATTTTTAGATTGGCACAATCCTAGAGTATCTTGGAAAAATCAGTTTGTGGATCATTTTTCATGACCTTAGGTATTTTCCTCCTTACTGAGGATAGGCAATAGCAGTTTTTTTCACATGTTCCAGGATTTCCGGAACTTCATACTACTTGAAAACCATTTTGAGGCAGCTGGTAATAGGAGGAAGTACTGGTTTGGATCCAGTACAAGACCATGCAAGGATCGTCAGTCTTCCTGGCTCCCCTCCCCACAGCAGTCCTTTTCTAACTCCAGGAAAGTTTATTCACATGGTCACAGGAGCTTCATAGAGTAATAGTCACACAAGATGCAAGGCTGCAGAGGGGAGGTGGAAGTATGCAGAATTGTTCCTTTCTTCTTCTTTCATCAGCAGAGCTCTGCTCACACAAAGGTCAGGAAGGAGTGATTTTGCTCTCTACCTTCCCGACTGCAACTGAACCATAAACTGTTACTCCTTAAAAGGCCTGCATCCCTGTGAATAAATTTCTTACCACTGAAAGGACCTGCTGTGGGGAGGGTAAAGCTGGGAAGATTGGTGACTACCAGTGCCTTGTTGTCTTCAGGCTTTCCCTCAGGCCAAACAGCTCATCATCTGTACTACCTTACCATGGAGCAGCTGTGCCTTATCTCTTCATACAGATAATTTGGGGATGCCTAGGAACCCTATACACACCACCTGAGCTACCTGGAGGAACGGCATGATTTATTAAATTTGACAATATAAAAATTTACTTCACAGTAATAAAGAGTTTTTACCCATCAGTTTTTAAACATATTTAGTTCATCTTTCCTTTGAGGTTTTTGATGTGAAATTCCACAGAAGGGCTTTACCTCCTTCCTCAGATGGAAAGTAGCCATGACCATACACATGAAGAAACAGCTGCACAAGTCACATCAGTGCACATTGGTATCACAATTATTAACATGGATTAGGGTTGCCAAGTGCTTTTTGAGCCACAGCGAGGGACTCCTGGCTGGCGGCTGGAGTGCGCACGTCACCCCGAAGTGACGTGACGACACTGGGCGGCGGGGCCACGACCATCCGAGGGAAAACCATAGTTTTCCCTCGGATGACCGTTGCCCCGCCCCCAGCATGCCCAGCGTGGTTGCGTCACTTCCGGGTGACGTGCACGTCGGGGGGGGGTTCCCCCCGGGGCCCGATCCGCCGGTGGCGGGGAACGGGCCTCTGGGGCGGGGGTTTCCCCGCCCCCCGGGGGGACTTGGCAAGCCTAACATGGATTGTTAGGGATAAGGGTCAAAGAATTTAGTTTCTGACATCAAGCAAGTATTAAGTATGACCCCAATACATTTCTTGCATTAACAGACCACAAAAGGGAATTACAGCGAGGATACTAGCTTTGATCCAAAATTACTTCAATTTCATACGATTAGATCATCCTTTTGGATTTTGATAGTGGTATAATTCCATTTTCTAATCAAGATGTCCTTTATTCTTTTAAGGGGAAACAGCTGAGCCAACATTTCAATATCTACATCTTTTCCTTGAAGAAGTACACTAAATAAATTTGGAATCTATTGCTTCAGTGCTACAAAATGTTCTATATGACAAAAACACACCGACATGGAGTAGAAGCTTCTGACTTAACATGAAACGACTGGTACTTGAGGGGAAGAGGTGCTGAAGAGTGAAGCTCTGACTCCCCCTTTGATCTTCTGATTTACTCAAATATTTACTAATTTCTTATAATACCTATTTCCATTGGAATCAATCTTCCTGAGATATCTCAGCCTTTTCTCACTCTTCTTTCTTTCAGAGTGACCTTGCTGATCTAATCCTTTATACATTATAGACATACTTATGACTACTCTTGCTTAGTAATGAACTCTTCTACTAAAGGACCAAATTACAACAAGTAATGCCACCGGGAATGAATATAATGGGGTCGTAGTACAGGTTTCCATAGTTCATAATGCTTTACTATGAGGTGAGCCTTTTTACTCTGAAACTATTAACTCTGTTTGCAATTTAAAATAAGATACATTTTGAGCTTCCAAGCCATGTACACCTGTGTAATTGGCTTTCATTGGATTAGATGGCACATGCTCAGATGTTGATGGCTTTAATCCCTTACTTGGTCTCCATTAAACTGATGATTACTGAAGCTGATTTGAATGTTTTGTACATTAGAAAGTAATTTACAGAATACTGCAGTCCAGCAATCAAATCATCAAGCTGTGAAAAGTCACATACATCAACAACGCAGGACATAACCGCACGTAAATCCAATCCTTACGAAAAATAATTGCATGAGGTTTGAAGGGAACCCTGGCCATTGTAAGGAGGAAGCTTTGTAACTCAACAACATGTTTAAAAAGTATAACAAACCAATCTAGCATGCAGTCCCAGACAAGCCAATCTTAAATCAAGCATCCTGGTTCCATCCTTGGCAACTCGACTTTCCCCACACCAACTTTACAATTTCCAGCCAGCTGTGCAATTTATAATAGAAAATAAACCTGTGAACATTCACAGATGTTGCTCATCAATGAAGTACAAACAGCCATGGTGAGTTGTCCACCACTTATATAGTAGCTTTAAGAAAATAGGAAAATTTTGTTTCAAGTCATGATAGAAATCTAGGCCAGACAACATTTGTGCTATTAAAGAAATTCAGTTAGCACAGATATGTGTTCATGCATGCCTTACTGCTATTGTATGTTCCTACTTGCAGAGCAAATGCAATACGACACACTAATTCAAATGGGCTATGTGGAAAGCCCCAGTTTTAGAATGTAATTCTTCTTGCACATATGTTGAGGAAAAGAACTCAAGTATTACGGGTCAGTTCTAATGGAACAGTTCACTGACATGGATATATTTTGAAGAGAGATTTAATTGAATTTATAATTTTAACTTTTTAATTGTTGAAATGTTTAACTGGTTTTATGTTTGCCACCTTGTGGACCCTGATTGGGTGGGAAGGCAGCAAAAATGTTGTAAATAAATAAATATAATAAATATTTTTTCATTGCCGTAGAGTTAAATAACACAAAGACTAAATCACATAATCTTTGGGCATTAGCTATCATATTATGTCTAACCTAGTGGAGTGTTCAGCCACTTGTACAAATACACATACATTTTCACACTACAAAGTGTTTTACACTGTGAACTCAGAAATGTCTCTAAGATTATTTGGTTTGGGGAAGCAAATGTGGGAAGGGGTGGTCCTCCTTGTCAGGTTATCTTATGGTGTGATACTGTAAACCAACAATCCTATTCTAAATATATTTACATGGATCTAGCCAATTATTTAAACTAAACTTCCTTGCAAACGTATGTTTATACTTCCAGCCTGAGTCTCATTCAGGCAGTCCCTGAAGTGTCACTTTTCTGTTACTTTACATTTAATCTGCACGGACCTGGACGGCCCAGGCCAGCCCAATCTCGTCAGACCCCAGAAGCTAAGCAAGGTCAGCCCTGGCAAGTATTTGGGTGGGAGACCTCCAAGGAATACCAGGGTTGCGACGCAGAGGCAGGCAATGGCAAATCACCTCTGAATGCCTCTTGCCTTGAAAACCTCCAGGGTCACCATAAGTTAGTTGTAACTTGACAGCAACAACATATTAAATCTAATGTTAGAGAAATTGTATTCTAAAAAGGTAGTTATTTCGTGCATGCCTAGTTAATCTATGAGAATTGTGTATAACTATTGAAACAGTAAGGAGAAATAAAAGGTATGTACATTTGCAATACCTTGTGGTACCCTAACATTACAAATGCTACAATACTGTAAACAGCCTTTCTACAACTATTTATAATACTTTTATTCAGCTGTACTTTAATACTTGGGAAATCATGCAATAAATAAATGATGCAATGAATAAAATCTCCTTAAACTGTTTATGCTTCTATACTTATATATATTATATATGCATTAGATTCTCAGAGCAGATACCACAGCCACTATTTTCAGGAAGGGAGTCTGAGGAACTGAGTCAAACTGAGGTAACGAGATGAAGAATTCTAAACCAGGGGTGGCCAAAATGTGGCTCGGGAGCTGCACTTTCACACATATTGTGCAGCTCCTGGCAGGGTGACTGGGGAAGCTAAATATCATTAGCAAACAAATATAATTGGACAAATAAGTATAATTATCAATACCTGCTTTTACCACTTTTGTTATTATTTTTGGCAGTCTCATTTAATGTTAATAAAAAGCAAATTTGCATATGTATCAGTAAAAACGTGTAATATTTGTTCATGTCTTGCAGCACTCAAACATCTGGCATTTATTCTATGTGGCTCTTACATCAAGCAAGTTTGGCCACCCCTGTTCTAGACCTGGTGGGGAAATTATCAACCAGTGAGTCTCAAGGTCCTGACAGAATATACCTGAGAGTTCTTAGGGAACTCAAAATGTGAGATTGTTGAACTACTAATCTATAGATGTCTTATCACTAAATTCAGCCACTGTACCAGAAAACTGGAGAGTAGCAAATGTTACACTGATTTTTAAAAGGGGGAACCAGGAAATTACAGGCCAGTTAACCTAACACCTGTCCCAAGCAAATTAGTAGAAAAACTATAATCAAAAACCCAGTGTTGGCCATTGAGGAACAAAGCCTACTGGGAGAAAATCAGCACAGCTTCTGCAAAGGGAAGTCCCGTCTCACCAAACTCTTGGAGTTGAGAAAATGAAAAAGCATGTAGACAGCAGTGACCAGGTAGGCATTATATACTTGGATTTTCAAAAGGCTTTTGAGAAGGTACCTCACCAAAGACACCTGAGTAAATTAAACAGTCATGGGATAAGAGGACAGGTTCTCTTAAGGATTAAAAATTGGTTAAATGTCAGGAAGCAAAGAGGAATAAATGGACGATGCTCACAAGAGAGGGAAATAAGCCAGAAGGTCCCACAAGGATCAGTACTGGGACCGGTACTATTTAGTTTATTCATAAATTATCTAGAACTAGGCGTGAATACCGTACTGGCCAAGTTTGCAGAAAACACATTCAGGATGGTGAGAACCAAGGATGACTATGAAGGAGTCCAGGAGAATCTCCACAGACTGGGTGAGTGGGCAACAATGTGGCAAATGAAGTTCAAGTTAAGTTTAAGGTGATGCACACAAATAAAAAATCCCAACTTCAAGTATAGCCCAACTAGCCTACCTGTGCTTCGCTACGGTATTTAAATTCCATAAATCCAGTTATAATACTGATGTGAAATTTGAAATGTGACATTTGTTGTAGGAATTCTAACAGAGAAGATTGTAGTTGTAAGAAATGACGTGAGACATACCTACTTTTTTCTTTCTATACTGAAGGACTTCTCTCTAGACCTCATTGGTTCTGCCCTCAGGTGCTAGGATCACCAGGCTGCTTGATGAGCTCACTCTGGAGCAGGCTACATAGAACTGTCCATTTAAGAAGCAATTGTCTGTTAAGTCAACTCCTGTTACCTGTCCAGTGTAGGACAGGGAGGGGGGGAGGAGTATTAGAAGCCACTGTGGAGGCAGGGCTGCCAGGATCACTAAGGCGTTCCTGCTGTGGTAGACTCCCTCATGGCTTAAAGCACCTTGCAACCTCTGCTGCACCTGACAGACAACCGCCTGTTAGGTGTAGGAGGTGGGGGGGAGTGTGTTGGAAACCATCTCACCTCTTCTACACCTGATAGGCAGCTACCTGTCCAATGTAGAAGTGGGAGAGGGGAGGATTATTAGAAGCCACTGTGGAGGTGGGGCTGTACCTGACGACAACTGCCTATTGATGTCGGAGGTGGGGGGAGTGTGTTGGAAGCCATCCCACCTCCTCTCCTACACCTGAGAGGCAGCTGAAGTGTAGGAGGGGGAGGGGGAGGAGTATTAGAAGCCACTGTGGAGGTGGGGCTGAACCTGACAGACAACCACCTGTTAGGCATAGTTGGTGGGGGGAGTGTGTTGGAAGCCCCCCCACCTCCTCTCCTACACCTGACAGGCAGCTGCCTGTCCAGTGTAGGAGGGGGAGGGGGGAGAAGTATTAGAAGTCACTCAACTGTCATTAGCTGTCTGCAGTCCCCAGTAACTTTTGGGTTTTTTTAATCTCAGAACACTGAACTCTGCAGCTGACCAATCAGAGCGTGCAAGGAGAGAGCTGCCTGCCAGCCGCATAGGAATCAATGGAGGGAGCACATTTTCCCCCTTTTGACCCACTTAGGGATCAAATTTCTAAAAATCCCTTCTTAGCGAGCACCTATGCCATGGTAGGAGCACTCTCCCCAAATTTGGTGTCTCTAGATCCAGCAGTTTGGCCTGTGTGTTGATTTTACAGTGAGAGGACTTTCTTTTATATATATATAGAAGATGGGGTCTGAACTTGCTGAGACTGAGAGGGGAAAAGATCTTGGAGTCATAATAGATAGCTTAATCAAAGTGTCAATCCAGTGTGCTGCAGTGGTGAAAAAGGCAAACTCTGTGTTAGGGATTATTAGGAAAGGGAGTGAAAATAAAAGCCAATATTATAATGCACCTGTGTAGATCTGTGGTGCAGCCTCATTAGGAATTAGGGTTACCAAGTACCTACTGCAAATCAGCGGGGGACACATGGTCCCCGGCTGGAACATTCCTCCCTGTAACACACCCACACCACACCATGCCGTCGCCAGGAAGTGACGCCGGGAGACGCTCTGTCAATGGGGCTGGAAACTCAATGGTACCATCGAGTTTCTATTCTAGCCCCATTGCCAGAGCATTGCCCGGCGTCACTTCCTGGCGACGGCATGGTGCGGCACTTTTCCACGTGGGAATGGTCCTGAGAAGAAGTATGTGTCCCCCACCGATTCTCAGTAAGTACTTGGTAAGCCTATTAGGAATCCTGTGCGCACTTCTGGTCACTGTATCTTTACAGAGCTGTAAGAAGTACAGAAGAGGGCAACCAGGATGACTAGAGGGTTAGAGCACCTTCCCTATGAGGAAAGACTGAAGAATTTGGGACTTTTCATTATAAAAAAGAGATGACTAAGGGAAGACACAATATAGGTTTATAAACTTATGATAGGGTGGAGAGAGTTGGCAAAGAGAACCTCTTCTCACTTTCCTAAAATACTGGAACTCGAGGACATCCAGTGAAGGTAATGAGCAGTAGATTCAGGATGAACAAAAGGAAATATTTCTTTACAAAGAGAGATTAAAATGTGGATTTCACTGCCAGAGGATGTAGTTATAGCCACAGAGATAGGCAGCTTTAAAAGAGGATTTGACAGATGGTAACTAAAGGGAACCTCCATGTTCAGAGGCAGTCAACCTCTGAATGCCAGTGCCAGGAGGCAACATCATGGGAATGTCTTGATCTCTATGCCCTGTTATTGTATCTCCAGAGGAACTAGTTGGCCACTGTGTGAGACAAGATGCTGTACTAGATAGACCTCCGGTCTGAACCAGCAGGGCTCTTTTTATGTTCTTACACAGTATAGGGTCAAATAGTGTCCTTCCATTTCTCAGAAAGTTCAATTGGATCCAACCGTTTGTCGACAAATGTTTGGAAAGCTGTCAGCACAAGGTTCGCAGGAATGATAGGCCCATAATGAAAGAATCATACATGCAGAAAATCTCATTTCACAAAAGTAATTTTTTATCTATCTAGTACAAAAATAAAGTTATCTATTTTATGTTGTCAATATGAAGGAATGTGAATCACATTCCATGTTCTTTGCTTGAGCTTTTAACTAGGGAATAACATTAGGCAAAATATATTTAAACAGTATGTCCTCCTTCCTCTATCCTGTACATGTTCAGCCCAATACTCAGATCAATTTAATGGGACATTCCCAATCAAGTGTACAAAGGATTACAGTTTTAACTTTTAAAACCTCAGGTCTTGCACCCCCACCTCATTCATCCTGGTCTAATTTACTTCATCTCACAAATCCCTCCTCTCTATCCACTTCAAAAAATATGCTGCCTCTTTTGAACTATTAGCTGGGTTCAAGTAGTACTTGTTGAGCATTCAGTGAGAAGGGCAGACTATAAATAAATAAACTCAATGAGGTTGCTACAAAAGCATGTAACCTCCTTAATTAGCCAAAACCTAATGTAGAGATCATGGTTTGTGCAAATAAACTTCATATGTCCTCCTCCCCCTTTGATCTTGACTTGGTCCCATATTAGAAGCAGCATTTATTTAACTTACTGTACAATGCATACAATACAAATAAAGCAACTTTGAGACACTGTGTCTCTTTTTAATGCAAAAGGAAAGGTTTCCTTTACTGTGTGATCAATGACTAGTTTCTCCCAGATTTCTCAATACTGTAAGCCGAAAACATTTAGAAAGAAGCAAAAAGAGAAAAGGAGGAAAGAACAATTTCTTCCCTCTTGAAGAAATAGAACATTTTACTTTTCTCCTAGGACAAATCTCCCAAAGAAATCCAGATAAGTTATTGTTAATGAAAATATCAGTACTAAACTAGAGCAGCATTTCCTTGCATATAATTTTGTCACACCAAGCAATTATTCTTGCTCTCTATTTAAATATATTGTAATTGATAGGGGAGAGATTAAATCCTCAAGGCTTCCTTCGTGTAACTTCATGCTGGACTAGATCAGACCCCTCATAGAATAATTAGCTATTTTATGTAAATTTCATGAAAGTTGTTGTCACAAACATTGATGCATTATCAGTAAAATTCCAGAATCTATAACTTCTTGGAAGTGTTCAAGGGAACATGCAGTTTTTATTGGAAGAATACTGATGAGTTAACAAGACAATTGTGCCTAGGATGAAATATTAGTATGCATTATAGTAAACTTTCCAACTGCAGAGGCTTCTTGTACACACAGATGCTCCACTTTGCGCACAATATTCCTGTATGTATAAAGGAATTGCCATGTCAACAGCAGCTCTATCCATTCTTCTCCACAGTGTGCACTGCTGTCTCCTTGCAACTAACTCTATGATCATATAAAATCATCCCAAGGTCTTTAGACTGGGTTTGGTCTCTTGGAGTTGATGAAGTCTTTCCCCCAGTGTTGATAGCTGTTGGTGAAGGCTTTTATAAAAATTATTTCTACAGCAGATTTAGAATTCTGCAATAAGTGTTATTCCAAATGCCAAACTTCTCTTTATTTCCATTATTTTGTCCCAGAAAGAGGTTCAAAGAAGGAAGTGTGCCAGGTACATCTAACTACTGCTTCAAGATTCAACATGGCCACAACTCCAAATTCCTGAATAACACCATTCCTTTTTCAAAAAAAACCCCAAAACCATATATAACCTCATGAAGGTCTATTGAGCTAGACAGATTGTAACATAAACTTTTTTTTATTAAATATGTAAAAAGATCAACGCAAGTCAAGTTATTAACATATTCAGAGACCCCCCAAAAATCTACTCTATCATGCGACAGTTGGTGGGTAACGCAAAATGACTGATACATCAGAATAAGACTTTTTTGCATCTATTATGTCATTACTTATCTATTTATAATTAACAATACATATGTTTACATTCCTTTCAGTTTACATTTAATATATAACCAAAGCTTTATGGTGTGCTATTTAGTAAAAGTAATTACAAATGCATATTTAAAACCATAAAGAAATAACAGGGTTACTCACCACAGAGGGAGGGTCCTCTTTCCCTTCCCAGAGTCTCTCACTTCCCTCAGCACAACTGAGCAGATCATGTTGTAATATGCTAGTATTATACTCCTGCCCCCTAGGTCAGCCACTTCCTGTCTTCAAATAAAAAAGAGGGCAGGGAAATTGCTTCACAGATCAATTATACAGAAAGAACTGAAGAAAACCAGCTACACATCCCCTCCTTAACCCACACAAATTCGAACTTACAGGACTGGAAGGTAAAATGGCTTTGGTGGGATCTATCTAAGAAAAGCTCTGAAAGTGCTTCAAAAGGAAGTGATCTGAAAATTTCCTCAAGAGTAAAAAGAAGGAAGGTTACAACTGCTTTGGTGGTGGTGAGAAGGTGCTGAACAGGTGGTTCAGAAATCTAGCATATTCCCCAAAATTCCATTTGATCACAATGGGCATTTGGGAGACAGTGAAACTAATTATATAATAATCATGGACATTTTAAAAGCAGAAAATGTATAACTGATTCCTATGCTGTATTATGAGAGTGTTCTACATCCTCCTGAAAAAAGTTCCTTTCTTAAAACTGCTTTATGCATAAATTGTTCAAGTGAAACCAAATCACTTCTGCTAACAGTAATAGTAAAGGGCTAGTCAGGGAGCACATTGATTTTCACAGGGTTTCAAGCTGTGTCACTCCTTCATTCTGTACATATTAGCTACAGTTTTGTCGAGCTAAGGGATTAAAATGAGGAAATGCAAATATTTGTTCAAATGCATCACATATGTTGCCTAAACAGTAAGTAAATGCTTTACTGCATAATTTCTCTGGAAGTAAACACACATTCTTATATTAAACAAGAGTTCCTCGCATCTATGCATGTATGTTGGAAGCCACCATTTAAGTACAGCAACACCACTGATTTTTAAGACGACGGCATACACAGGGCTTTATTTAGAACTATAGTAACTGCAGCCTGCAGGATGATACCCTGCCTCTCGGCCTTTTGGCTAAGATCAAGTGTGTGATACTGTGCTAGGATTTTTTGCTGTTGTACCTATCATGTCAAATAACCAGTCCAATCTGAGATTAAGAAATTAAATAACAAACCAGGGAAACCAAGTGAATTTTAAAAAGGAAGAAAAAAAAAAGAGAACTGTAACTAGACTAAGAAAATGTGCAACTTAAGTTTAAGAAATAAGGAATGTTTTAATACATGATTTGCTATATTTCTATTTATAAAATGCCATCATCCAAGTGCAAGATTAACAAGAATGGTAATATTGAAACACAAGGCAATGAACATTTCTGCAAGCCAACATTCTGCACTCTCAAACCATCCAGTAGTCACAGCCAGACCACACAGTAATTAATTCTCATATCTTGTTCCAGATAATACGCCTCCAAAATATATGCCTGAAAACTGACACAAAGCAACTGTGTGGAAAACAGGTGCTCATTTAACAGTTTATTTCAAAGGTGACTAAAAGACTTCAAAGTAAAACTAGGTGTGATTGTGCTTGTAACTGGTTCAGCATAGCCAAGTCTATCATCACAAACGTGTTCATCCTCCACATAATGCAAGGGGGAAGGAAAGCGGTTGTTCTGCAGCATCCCCATTTCTAGCTGTAGAAGCTTGAGCCCCAGTGGCACCTGCAGGCAGAGATACAGTGGTCAAGACTTTGCTTGAACCAACAGATACCAAATAGGAAAGCGAAATAGGAAGAAATAAGTTTCTAGCTGCAGGGGAAGTGTTTAAGAACTCTCCATCTAACAGTTGAGCAGGCATCAATCTTCCACAAATGAAGATATACTGTGCAGCTTTCTAACATGCTTTGGTGTAAACATCAGGAGGATGAGAGGTGTTTGTTTTTAAGATAGGAAAAAGTTGCTTTCTTGTGTGGTGTTAAATGATGGGAACAGGTATAATCTGAGTGTGATTTCAGTTGTTTCCCCTCCTTCACACTGACAAAATGTATGCACAAGGCAGACCAAAAAGACCACAATATGTGAGGAAACCGAACAGAACAATACTTTTTGCCATAAGAGATGCCCATATAAATAGTTTTGAACAAATTACAAACGTATCATACTTAAGACAAAAGGAAAAAATAAATATATATTATATATTTATATATTTTTTTAAAAAGCTGAACAAATCTCAAGCAGCCAAATAGTGAAGTTGCAGTGGTAGAAACTGGGATCACAGCCTTCAGACCTTCTCAGGTGCAAACTCCAACAGAAGACTCCTGCAAACACATCTTGGCAAAGGATGGGCACAGAATGCAGCAACTGGCTGACACTCACTATGGGACATTTATGTTAATGGCAGACTGAGAGTGGTTGGTTTCAAGTCTGAGGCCACACACGTTCTATTCTTCAGAAGAAAGTTCCCACACAAAAAATGAAAATTATCCAATGTGCCAGGTGGTCAGTACTCTTCCTGCTGCTGGGGCTGTTCATGAACCTGTTCCTCGCCTTCATGGTCTTCTGTGTGGCTCTCCTGTGTGTTAAAAGTGGGAAAGGTCTTCATTACAAATAGGAAAAAAACTCAGCAAAAGTAATACACAGAAAACACCGAAAGTGTGATTCTTCCCCTCTATGCTGCTGAAAACATTAACTGAATATGTCTGAACTGTTATACAAAGCTAAGCGCGGTAGGATTAATCTGAAAATGAAGGACTTTTAGAGAAGTCCCAGCACAACTCAAATTTGATATTAAATATAGACTTTAGGAAATATGTGTAGGAAACGAGTAATGGAGACAGGTGCTGAAAACTGGCAGGGAGGCAAGATGACCAAGGGAATTCAGTTTCCACATTTTTATTGAAACTGTGTTGAAGAATGCATTCTGGCATTTTCCTCATGTGAACTGAATATAATTCTACTAATTTAACATGAAAGCTGCCATCTTAATTAAGATATATTTATTATGTTATCTCCAGTGGGCCCCAATGCAACTTATATCATTCTTTTGCATTTTATCCTAACAGGCTTATGAGGTAGTTAAGTTAAGGCTGAGTGTGTACAACAGGCCTAAGGTCATCCAGCAGGCTGCCATAGCAGAGTAGGGATTCAAATCTGGGTCTCCTAGATCCTAATCAGATTCAGTCTGAATTGGAATAATGTGGCACACATGCTGGGTAATAAGCAGGATAGACTGACTAGTTATCAACAGACTAAAATACAATTAAATTTCTATAAAGGAATTGCCTGTATTTCTGAGAATCATGCCAAAAATAATTTCTGTATTGCTTTGCTAAAAGAGTTAAACTGTAAATACACAAGTACCGTACAAACACACAGTGCCTGAACATGAAATCTAATTTTATAATCTGCTTACTTCCATTAACCCCAAATTAAAAGCTTGCTTTGTTGAAAATGATTGTTTTCCTGTAAAACTCCTATACAGTTAATATCTACTCTGCATTTCTGAAATCTAGATTAAAGCCATGCTGGAAAAGGAGGTGCTTTTGTCAAAACGTTTTGCTTCCCATCAAAAGCAACCCTCCCCCTTCTAGCTACTTCAGGGGGCACATTAACCGGAACAGAAGAGTTTAACCATTGTGCGTGTGGGGTAAAGGAATAAGGCCACATTACTAAGGTGACAAGGTGATGCTCCCTATCTTCTTATGTTGTGAGATTGGTTTCATTGCCTTCCCTTGTAGGGTAGAATAGCAAAGGAGCATGACTTCCTTCCTCCCCACTTAGAATTAGGGCAATATTTCCTATCGTCTTTCTGAATTAGCTTTATGTTGTCACTAGGAGTAAGGCCCGTTGTGGGAAAAAATGCAACAAGCTCTAGAAGGAAGCTCCAGGTGAGTGTCCCGACTGTGGCTGGTGGGGCGGCAAAGGGAAGGGGAAAATAGAGGGAGGCAAGCCATGTTTATTTCCTTCTGCTTAGCTATAAGGCAGGGCTGTCTCAATTAATTTTGCTGCCCCAAGTGGGTAGTATGGGAGGACAGCCTCATGGTAACAGGTATGGCTCCCTCCACCCCTGACTCATGTTGATTTGGGGTTATGCAGTGGCAGCTAAGGTAGAAACGCACCTCCTCCTATGCCATGTCTTCAGGGTTCCAAGGGTCTGGAAAGCGGTTCCATAGCCAGTTACAGGGTTGCCAACTCTGGGTTGGGAAATACCTGTAGATTTGAGGGGTAGAGCCTGGGGAGGGCAGGGTTTGGGGTGTGGAGGGACCTCAGCAGGGTATAATTCCATAGAGTCCATTGCCCAAAGCAGCCATTTTCTCCAGGAGAACTGGTCTTGGAGATCTCCGGGTGCTGCCTGGAGGCTGGCAATACTAAGGGGAAGGCCAGACCTGTAGATTTATGGGGTAGAGCCTGGGGATGGCAGGGTTTGGGGTGTGGAGAGGCTTCAGCAGGGTATAATGCCATAGAGTCCACTGCCCAAAGTAGCCATTAGAATAGCAGGGAAATTTTCTGTAGGGGAAATGATGAGCTGTGGCTGGGGAACATGGTGATTTCTGGGAGATCTCCAGGCCCCACAGGGAGATTGGCAATTACAGTGACCGTTTAAGGGAAGATTGAGATATGTATTTTGGCAACTCCAGTGACCATTTAAGGGGAAATTGGGATATGTATTTTACCTCAGGACACATTCAATGACTCGCAACAACAAACTGTTTAGAATGTTAAAGGCAAAGGCCAATCAGGCCGCATATGCAAATGACCTCTGTGTTCCGACTGGCTACTGGGAGGACAGGAACAGCAAACTGTTTAGAATATTGGAGGTGAGACTCAGGCAACGCAGCCAGTGGATAGGGACAGCTTCTGAGTGACAGATCAGGGAGCGAACTGATTTGGGAGAGTGTGGAATGTTCAGGAGAGTCCATGACCAAAACAGAATTATATATAAGGAGAGATTACATATTGTTTTATTGGCTGTGGCATCTTGACATCATAACACTGTCTATGTAATTCTTACTGGCTATATAACCCAGCAAACTAGGAAGCAGCAGTTTTTTACAAAATGGCAGTGAATGACCCATCACTTTTTTCTACATCACCACTGTAGAACACATGTCATAATGTAGCTAAAGCTACTGCACAAATTGATGGTAAATGGACACACAGCTAAGGATTTTCATGATCACAGCAGCTCCAAGAAGCACCAAGATGATCACAGAAATGGCTCCTCAACTTATCTGCTACTTCATGCAATGACTTCTTAGAAGAATGGGCAGCCAGGGACTGTTAGGAGGGAACAAAATGCCTTTGTATTCCGTTGCTAATGGATTTCCCCCCTGTCATTTCAGCATTTACTTATCTGTTTATGCAAACCCATTTGTGTCAGGTTAGAAAAGCATGGTTGAGCCGCTTTTGAGGGAAACTGCTTTTTTTCTGTTTTCAGCCCCTTTGTTCCATTTCTGAATCACTGTGGTGTGCTGTTTAAAATGTCCATAGTGCTTTCTACAGTGCCACTTCCCCCCGCCCTTTCCCCCCATGAGATCTTCCTCAGCTATTTTTTAACTTTCTAAGGTAAGCGCTATAGCTGTGGCTCATTAACGGAAGGAAATTTGCTGTATGAAACTCCCATCTCTGTATCACTTTACTCAAAACTGAGTCAACAATGAATAACATCTGGTTAAGAATGGTAATGTGACAAGGGCCAGAGAAAATGACAGAGACTGACCTTGGGTCCTCACATATACAAAGTATGTGGCCCTTACTGCCAAAGGATGATTTCTCACAATTTCATGAAAGATCTTGTGAAACTCTTAAACATCAATATTTCTGTGATTCGACATTTTAAGATAAGACAACTATAAACATTGCAACTTTGTCCTTTTTCAAAAAAAGTTATTGTCACAACCCCTGGTCCAGGCCTTTCTCTTATTGTTTTATACCACTTTGCCAATAACAAGTCCCTCAGGCTGCAGAGTTGTGCATCACCTCACCACACAATCTTTTATATATTTTATACAAAGTCAACTGTTAGCTTTAGGTGTGTGAGGTGTGTGGGATTTCTGTTGCTTAGAATATCTGCTCTGACAAATACACAGGATTACTCAATCCTGTACCAGACAGTACGCCACTTTCATGTCCAGACCCCTTTGTTGTGGTTCCTACAGAGTGTATAGTGAGGGATGTGGGTTGAGGATAACACCAGAGTCATATATAACAACAGATAAGTTTATTTAATTGGTAAATGTGGCTTGCAATTCCTTCCCACTCCAGCCTCCAGTTGACACAGTTACCAGGGCTGGGAGGAGTGTTATACTTAAGTTGCAATGTTTGTCCTTTTCAGCAGTATTGCCATAAATACAATAACTAGACAGCTTGAACAAGTCCACAGTTTTATCTAGGAAAAGCACCCAACCCCCACCTGTCAAAATCAATCATTACAGTTCTTCCTGGACTCCCTGCGTAGTCCAGGATGCCTCCAATCCCTTCTCCCTCCAAAATCCAACTGCCCCATTTGTCCATTATTTGTTGACAGTTAAAACTCCCCTCAGCCTTTTTTTCACTCCAGCAGTCCATTTTCCCTATTTGAATCTGATTGGTCAGTTCAGAAATCCTCTCATCCATCACAGTTATCTTTTTTTGAAAGTTCAGAATTAAATCTGTTTATACTGTATGAAACTCCATTCCAGAACAATCTGTGAGAATGCAAATTAGAGTTTCTGGAGTTGCTGCAAAGTATATCTTAAAACAACTAGATTTTCACAAGAATATGTACTTTTAGCAAACTTGGAATGCACTGGGCAAATGCACCACAACAAATGGCCACTGCTTCCCTTTACTTCCTTTATCTTTCCAAGGTTTCTGACAGGTTATTGTGGCTTTGTCTCAGACCTTTCGTGCCATTAGGTACCACTGTGATAACCCTACAAACTACATAGTCCTAGAGGGAATGAGAATGATCTCCAACAGTTCAGGGAAGTCAGTGCACTCAGCTCCTATAATGTTGCAGGTTTCATTCATCTGAATGGGAGGGACGTACTCCAAAGTTTGTCCCAATAAGACAAGAACCTAGAATATCCCTGCATTGTTCCTTCTAGACCAGCGGTTTTCAACCTGTGGGTCGCGGCCCCTTTGGGGGTCGAACGACCCTTTCACAGGGGTCGCCTAAGACCATCGGAAAACACAAATTTTCCATGGTCTTAGGAACCGAGACACATCCTGCATATCAGATATTTACATTACGATTCCTAACAGTAGCAAAATTACAGTTATGAAGTAGCAACGAAAATAATTTTATGGTTGGGGGTCACCACAACATGAGGAACTGTATTAAAGGGTCACGGCATTAGGAAGGTTGAGAACCACTGTTCTAGACAAAAGGAAGAAATAATTGACACAATGATGGTGGCAGTACTGGGTGAGCAGGAAGGCACTGGAGTACAAGAGGGGAAGATGTATTATTTGACCCTTGGCTACTCACTGAACGTTATTCATCCCAAAGGCAAGGACTTACTAGTCACCCCAATGCAAGCAGCAAACTGCATCTCTGAGCTACAAGCACAGAGTAAATCCCATATAAATAGCAACAATCAAGGACTAGGAACTTACTTCCTCAACAAAACTTAAACAACAAAATATATTACTAAAAAACTATGCAACATTTTTTTTGAAAAGCTGTAAAATATCTTCTGTGATTACTTGGAAACCCCCAAATCCTTTCAATATAACACAGACTGCCATCTTTTTATCTGCTAAGGTACCATAGCTGCCTTGAATGAAATCAGGCCTATGTCAGTTTAAAACATGCTATGCACATCCATGTGACTGAAGAGCTGGTGATGATCTCAGACTCACATGTTCTTCTGAAGCGTAGAGAACTTCCATTAGCCGCTGGACAAGGTCATTATTTTCCTGCCCATGTTCTTGACAGAGAAGCTCAATCTCCCTTAATTTTCCAAAATAGAAATCTCTTTCCTTCTCCACACCTTCAAGTGCAAGTTTTAATGAATGTACCTGTAAAAAGACACCACTTCTTTAGTACATTTAATCACTGAATAATTCCTTTGACAACATAAGTCAGCTGATAGGTAGTCTGAATGCTCACATGATTTCAAAACCACGTGAAACATTATACTTCCAGTGTTTATGTTTCCCTATGGCAGGGGTCCCCATCCGCTGACACCTTTCCTGGTGCCTGCCAAGTGTTTTTAGAAAGCAAGCAGAGCCAGATACAGTTTCTGCCCAGCAAGGTCACTGGAGATCTGATTGGCTGTGCAGATTTTTTAAAAGTGTTACTTTGGCGGGAAGCACAAAGATTTTCACTGAGGCAGTAATTCTGTGGCTAGTTCCACCTCTTGCAGCAGCCATTTTGTGGCTGTGCCCATCATGCTGTGTCAGAATTCCAAATGTTCCCTCAGGCTCAAAAAGGTTGGAGACCCCTGCCCTATAATTATCACTACACTCAAACTAGAGATGTCAAAGCCTAGAAAAATACTATAAAAGTAGGGAGGAGGGGAGTCACGTATTTTTTCCCCTGAATAATTTTTCTAGTGGAAATAATAATAAACTTTTTTGGTGGTGGTGGGGCCACTTACATGTTATTTTATCACACAGAATAATGAATGATGTATTTCTCTGTACATGTCCCTTCAATACACCTCAGGTACAAGATGGCTGCAGAGGTACTGCTCCTGCAGGTATCTTCCACCCTTGTGGGGTGAAATGGGATGGGACGAAGGAGCTTGGGCAGAAAAATGAATGGAAACATTCTACAAAATTCACAAAGAATTTTAAAACCAGAGTATATATGCTATGTTCAGTGGAAAGGTTACATGTAGAAGTGGTTGTTTTAATATTCTTAATCTCAACTCCGCCTTTAGGTAGACCACTCAACCTCAGTCACCTACCCCATTTCTATCCTAGGGATAATAGTGGGCAATTGATAAGATTGAGAAAACAGCTTAGAGTACAGCATTTACATAGCAGTGGCCATGTATTATAGTTAGCACAGTCAATGTATTATTATTATGGGCTGCTACATGGGCAGAAAAGCTCATGGGTTTATATATGTGGAGGCACAGCTAAAATCCTTATACTTGGACACCACATTCTCAGCTCTAGTGATCTTGTACCTACTGGCACTACTGTGTCCATGCTCGTATCATGTTCCTGCTTAAATGTGCTATGGATTACCTGCAGGCATGAAAAGGAGAGGGTCTTTTTAAAATCCAGGAGTTGGTACCAGCAATGGCATGGCACTTACTGTTCTATGACAACTGGGCTTCAGTAGGACAACTGTGCTACATTTCGCAACTTTAGGAGGTTTTTAATACTGTCGCAGCACACACCACCAGGCTATCTGGAACGCTTCTTTACCATCAATCTCTGGTTTAGTATCTTCACTGAATCACTCAGAAATGTGTTCATTCCTAGGCATGTTACCTGTTCACTGAGCTGTATAACTTGTGTCTCCAAATCTTTATCAGATTTGGAGGCTGAGCTGCTAGGTGGTGTCTTTTTTGCTGATGATGGACGAGACGGTGTTGATCCTGGTTTTGAAGCTGGACTGGATTTGGCAGCACCTAAAACATGCATAAAGTTGGTTTACACAGTATTTAGCCTTTTGATGGATAATTTATTTCTGCCTGTACAGATGATTCAGCAGGGCATTTTGCTTTAGAGGAGATAGAAATAAAATCACCACAGAAAAATCACCCTACGTTCCACTTGCACGTATGATGAAAAAGAATTATAACCTATGGTTATGTACAATAAACATGGAATCTGAGCTACTGACAAACAAAGACCACCCTTCTTTAAATCCATGAAGTGCAGCAATACTGACAGTAATTTTTCACAAACAGGTTTAAGGAACCAAATTGCTATTTACAAATAGGCTTCAGGATTTCAAACCACCAAAGCAAAAGTGTTGCAGACTTCCAGGTGACTCAGGAAAGTAAGCTATTTTGTATGCATGCGTGCACACCAGCAGACTCATACAGATTTTTTTTTAAAATCAGAAAGCATCCAGGATTAAAACAATAATTAAAAAAACACAGAAAACTTTCAAAAGGCCTAGCTTATTTGAAGTTTGGGTAAATTTTCTATTGCCCATTAATTCCCTCAGATATGGGGAGAAGATAGATCCAACAACTAATTACCACCCATTGCCTCTCCAAAATTAAGATTCAATCCACTGCTAGTGCCTGTGAAAGTTGTCAGTGGGTTAAGACAAAATAAATCAATGCCAAAGCAACCCACACACCAAAAAACAAAAAGGTACTAACTCATCCTATGTCTTATAGCATAAGACAAAAGAAAGGCACCTTTAACAGCTAAGGGAAAGTTGCAAAATGTATGCTGCGTTTCCATTCCGGTTTGCTTATCTGCAATGTTCTTAATTTTTACAACTCGAGTACAGATTACCGTTCTAACATGCAGCATGGGAAATGATATTACAGGTTTATAAAAATGTAGCACTATATGGGTTAACATGTATCTTTTTGGTACATTTTTTGTACAGTCCATTAATGTACATGTGGATAAAACAGGATACCTTGGACAGACATAAATTGCCCATAAGCTATTAGGTTGTGAGATGTTTTTTGAACGTTAGCATTGGCCAAAGAGGTTCCAACATCCTAGAGATTGCTAGAGAGTCCCTAAACCTGGACATAGGATTAATTTTGAAATGCAAACAAACAGAAAACACAGTTGCACTTAGCCTGTAACTTTGTTCAAGTATCTTCTGTGCAGGCACACATGGGGACTGTGCATGAGCAGGCCTGCCATCAGACAGGTATTTACAGCTAAAAGCCTCCAGGGGGTGCTGCACACTGGAGCCAGAAGCTTGTGCCCGCCCAGGGTGCATGTACTTCTGCACAGCAGCACCCCTTACCCTCAGTACCTCTAACACCGCCAAAACCAGAGCATTCAGAGGGGCAGGAGGGAGGGTATGTGTGCCTGCCCAGAAGATACTCAATGAACAATAGTTACAGGCATGTGCAACTTTGAGTTCATCTTTGATCTTCTGTGCAGTCCCATGTGGGATTCTAGCAAGCTACTCACCAAGTGTGGGGCATGCTCTCCTCACTTCAACAGTGAATAGAGAACTGCATGCCCACTTGAGCTTCACGTCTCACCTGCAGATCCAAAGTGTAGTGACATACAAATGTGTCTGCCGATGACTAGGTGGCAGCTCTGCAGATATCCATCAAAGGCACTCCTTCCAAGAAAGCCATGGAAGAAGCCATTGTCCTAGTGGAATAGGCATGAATGTTCAATGGGCATGGCAATCTGGTCTTATCATAACACTCCCTAATGGTCCTGACAATCCATCAGGACAGGGTCTGATATGACCCTCTCCTACCTCTCTTAGGGCCAGTAAAACAAACAGGACTCTATTCCTGTGAAACTCCAGGGTTATCTTGAGGTAAAATAATAATGCCCTCCAAACATCTAAAGAATGCAATGAACTCATTCTCAGAGCTCAGTGCAGGAAAAAATATAGGCAAAACAATATCTTGGGATAAATGGAACCTAGAAACTACCTTAGGAAGAAACCTAAAATTAGGGCATAGAATTACGCTTTTAGGAAAGAACTTCAAAACTGGGGGATCTCTCTGAAAACCTGCTAGCTCACTCACCCTCCTGGCTAACGTAACAGCTACTAAGAAACACAGCATCGTGTTATCATTTATATTAGCCGTAAGTTCCATTTGTGCCAGTAAGAGTGGAAGGTGTGTCTTATCGGGAGAGGTGGCCGTTTCTGATACAAGAGATTGATTAGCAGCCATTTTGTGAGTCTCCGGGCCATCAACCTTTCTGCCCCTGTCACTCTCCCGGCTTCCAACCTACTTCCTCCCCCCAGAGACACACAGCAGCAGTGGCAGCAGCCGATCTCCAGGAATTGTAATGAGTTGCTCAAATACAGAGATCAGTTCCTCTTAGAATTGCTAGCTCCATGTTGGGAAATTCCTGGACACTTGGGGGTGGAGCCTTGGGAGGATCAGGTTTGAGATTGGAAGTGACCTCAGCAGGGTATAATGCCATCAACTCCACCTTTCAAATCTGCCATTTTCTCTGGGGGAACTGATCTCTGTCATCGAGATCAGTTGTAACTGCAGGAGATCTCCAGCTCTCACCTGGAGGCTGGCAACATTAGTTTCCCTGGAGGAAATGACTGCTTTGGAGGGTGGAGTCTATGGCATTAGATCTGTTGAAGTCCCTCCCTGCCTCAATCCCCACCATCCCCAGGCTCCACCCCTCAAATATCCAGGCATCTCTATCTCCTTCCCCACCCAACAGCCAACCTACCTTTATCTGCCCCTCTGTCTTCAGCTTTCTGTCTCCTTTCTCCCTGCAGGGTCTACTGAAGAAAACTATGGTCTTTCTCAACAGTGGGGACTAAAGCAATTGACATTATTCTCTCCTCCCTTTTTATCCACACAACAACCCTATGAGGTAGGTTAGGCTGAAAGCCACCCTGAGCCCACTGGGGAGGGTGGGATATAAATATGAAAAATAAATAAATAAATAAAATAAAGTATGTGATTGGTCCAAAATCACCCCGTGAGCTTCCACAGCAAGATGGGGATTGAAACCTGGGTCTCGCAAACCCTACTCTGAAGCTCTGACCATTATACTACACTGACTTTCATAGGGTGGCAGCTGTTGAACAGTAGCAAGCAGCCAGGCCTAGCTGAATCACGCAAGTCAGGTGGTATCAAGTCACTCAGAGGGTGCTGCTAGGCCTAGGTTTGCCAGCCTCCAAGTGGGACTTAAGAGATTCTCCAGAATTACAACTGAACTCCAGACATCAGAGGTGTCCCTCTGGAGAAAATGGGTGGACTCTGTGGCATTACATCCAGCTGAGGCCTCTCCCCTCCCATAACTCTACACTCCTCAGACTTCACTGCAGAATCTCCAGGAATTTCCCAAACTGGAGCAGGTAATCCTAGCCCCAGGCCTAGCTCCAAACCCCCTGCCATTCATACTGCAGGAGGAATCCTCCCCAATCCATACTTCTGCTTTTTGCTTCCCCCCCCACCTTCTGGCTATCACTGTGGATGCAGCAGGGCCTGGAGTAGAGCCCTGTGGCGGCCATTTCAAAAGGTACTGGGGGGGGTTCAACCCTCCCCAAGGTGGTTTTTTTAAAAAACTTTTCAAGTTTTTTCTACATACCATAAAATCCCCTGAGTCTCTAGAAAAATGTGTTGGGAGAGAGCGTGCCCCCTGTCTGCGGAAATAAGTATCTGCAGGCAGAGGGGGCTGGTGAAAATTAGATCTATATAGATACTACTCCTTTAAGCTGCTTGAAGAAATGGGAGAATGATTTATGAATTAGTTTGGGTTTAGAGAAATGAAAATGGATATGGGAAAACATGACCTTGAAACTAATCCTGATGAGTTTCAAAGAAAATTTTGGTAAAATACTTTTGCAATGGTTATCATGTATCTCATAAATCTCAAAAACTTATGAGATATTTGTTGAAGATGTGGCTGGGGCCATGCAGATTTGATACATGTGTTTCAGACTTGTCCAGTACTTAACATATACTAGCAAAATGTGATTTGAAGCAATATACCACCAATCCTAAAATAATTCTGTTAGGATGTTTAAAAGAACTGGTAGCTTCTTCAGATATTTAGTGTGAACTCTGATTACAGCTGCTAAAATGGTTATTGCAGCATACTGGGGGGGGGGGGACAGAACTCCAACCTATAAAAAAGACTGGTTTAATTATTAACTAAATTAACATACTGCCACAGGGTGCAAACACATAATTTACAACATACAGATAAGTTTTCTTTAAGCTGGGCAATTTTTATTATTTTTTATTTTAATTTGTATTACATATTGCAATGAAAGAGATAAAACACACCCTTCTTGCTTTTAGTAAAGGTAAAGATTTCCCTTGCTCGAAAGCCAGTTGAATCCGACTCTAGGGTGGCGGTGCTCATCGTTTCCAAGCCGAAGAGTCAGTGCTGTCCGAAGACGTTTCCGTCGTCATGTGGCCGGCATGACTAAATGCACGGAACACTGTTACCTTCCTAAGTGGTACCTACTTATCTACTTGCAATTTCTTGCTTTCGAACTGCTAGGTTGGCAGGAAACACCCTTTTCTTCTTTTGTCTTCTTTGTATTAAGCTATTATGTAGTGTAATGCAATAATAATATTTTTTAAATTAATATAGCATATATGGTCTGATAAAAAGTAGCTTAAATTTAGGGCAAAAGAATAACCACACAGAAAGAAAAATTCTGCCAGATGCATCACCCATCACAGCAATAATTGATCCCCAAGTCATTTTTGTTTACTATACTCCAGACAAAGAAGTTAGCCATTTAGAGGAAATCCTTTGTCTTTAAACCTACTTCTTATAACCCACTTGCAGTACATGCTCATCTTGTCCTGTCTGAATAATAGAATATCATATTTTCTAAAAAAAAAATCAAAAGTCATCAAACATTGCAGTCCTAAACAGAGTTGACTTCAATGGGTTTAGAAGGTGTAGCTCTGCTTTGGATTGCGCTATAAATCTATTTATTGCATGTCCTTTGTCCAGAAAACCTGTTCTT